TTCTTCTTCTTCTCTCTCTCTCTTCTCTTCTCTTCTCTTCTCTTCTAAAACAGGCTCTATTCTATTCTAAATGAGAACATATGGGTCTATTCTATTTTATTCACTTTGATTCTAGTCAAATCTAGTCTAAACAAGAACACACAGGTCTAGTCTAGTCTATATCTTCCTTGACGTTGGTAAGTTGGCAACTGTGCAAGAGAGTATAAATAGTACATGGCCATTCAAGCTATCTTGAACATACCTTGCATGGTTGGAAAGGACTCTACAAGGTGCATGGTTATACTAAATCAGGTCCACATGTCTCTAGTGATCCATTTTATTCTCTTGAACTTCCTTTCTCCTTCTCTCTTCTTGTCCTCCCCTTCAGCTCTCTCTCTCTCTCTCTGTTCTTTCTACCATCACCCTTCATGGCCTTAGGACCCAGTCCTGACCTGTTAACTGCAAAGGGTGTTTTCCACTGAGTTCAAATGGAGCAAGAAGGGGACCTAGAACATGACCCAGCAAAAAGAAACACAGGGGATGGGATTTTAACCTGAATCAGTTTGGGCCTGGTCCCACTAGAGTCAATGGATAAATCGCCAATCAGTGGGAGAAGAATTAGACCAGCACAGGCTGCTGTTGACAATCCCACCAGGCTCAAGAGGAGCCAGACAACTCCAGTGGGGCAGAGGGGGGAACAGGACAGCTCTGCCCTGAGAGCTCCTGACCAAAGCTGCCACAGAAGCCTCTGCTGGGGAGGAAGGGACTATGAGCTGAGCCCAGCTGGGCTGAAGGTTCAGTTGCTCCCTGTTTCAAAGGCAGGTAGAGAATTTCATATGGAGACATTGCCACAACTATGATATATAACTACAAGGAGACACAGCATCAAGTATGGAAATTAAAGCATTCCTTATTTACTGAAAGAAATTCCAGCAGAGGTACTAAACCATTAGCCTACAGAATATTTAACGAGACGGTGTATTTCTCTGACGGATCTAAGTGACTCTGAATGCAGTATTACAGTTTAGTTCTTTTCATTAGTTAATTAACTGAGTTACACCTCTGAGGAGCCCATCCCATGAGGACACCAAAGATGCCTTAAAAACAGAAGCATTTAAAGACATACGCATTCATAGATTAGTACTACCATGGTGATGAGCACTGTCTACCCGGAATATGGTAAGAAGGGAGCTCTTGATTTGGAAGGTACGTTAGATACTCTTTTGCCTGATGATTCTCAATGATCTTAAAAATACCTGCTGTATCCTTGTAAAATGTTCAGCAGATCATCATTCTTGGCTTGCCTGATTCTGTATTTCCTAGTTTTACCTCCAGCCTTGGGGGGAAATTACAAACTTCATTTAATAGCATTAGCTTTCCCACAGTAATTACATTTGTTAAATAAAGAAAGAAAGTTTAAAAGTCAATGAATTGGAAAGGAAGGGAGAAAAAATTACTTACATAAACATAGACATGCTCCATCGATCTATATTTAGATCTTACTATGCTCCTCTATGTATCTTAACCCTTGTTTTTCTTTCTGTTTCCATATACACCCATCTCTTTATCTCTCTAGATCTTAGTATGTTGATTTACCCATTTCTAACCCTTGATTCTATCTATCTATCTATCTATCTATCTATCTATCTATCTATCTATCTATCTATCTATCTATCTACAACTCCTTCTCTCTCTCTCTCTCTCTCTCTCTCTCTCTCTCTCTCTCTCTCTCTCTCTCTCTCTCTCT